TTCTTGATTGAGCAATAAAGATGCCAGCAACCAATGGCTGTGCAGAAGAGGCGGGCTTCTTGGTTCCTGCAGGCGGGAAGGGAAAGGGCATTCACCATGCTTCAGAGGGAGAGTCACTGGACATGTGAAATCTCATGTGGAGTGGCCATTGGTGGCTTCCCAAGGTGGAAGATTAGAAACGCAACTAAACTGAGGGCAGATGTAGGGTATTGCGCAAGGAGAAGTTAACTAGACAAGTAAGCTAAGGGTAGATTTAGAGTGCTGAGCAAGGAGTAAAGGAGAGGCTTAGAAGAGCCCTGCTGCTGAGCCCCAAGGCAAGTAAAAGATGAGTCGTGTGTGTTTCATCCTCGGAAGCAACGGAACGAGGATGCTGGCTGATAGTGCAGTCTGCCCAGAGCTTAAAGCAGAGTAGTAGAAATTACGCACTACAGTTTTCTTTCCTACTGAATGAAAAGCCTTTCTACTTGTTTGTAGCTTTTCATTATTTTCTTCTTTTTGTTACTTTGTGTGGTTTCTTCTACTGTTTCCTAACAATATCTTCTCTGGCTCAGTTCAGCTTCTCCTGTCATAACCATCACCAACTGTCTTCTCAAACCCTATGCACTGACCCACTTATTTTTCTGTCACCTGGAACCTATTCTCCTCTGACCCTCATTCTACTCGGCTATGTTAGTGTCTGCTTGCTTTTTACTTCCTCTTCTGTTCCCAGAATTCCAAGAGGCAACCGACACTGAAGGCCATGGCGTCAAGCAGTTATAAGAGCTAAGTATTCCCAAAGAGTCAGTTGGTTAGCTATTGGAGATAAAGGACCAGGAACCCAAAATAAATCATACTAAACCTGCTCCTACATCTTGAAACTTCTCTACTTCTAGCTGTTTTAGAGGGTTCAGATTTTACATCAAGGTCTTTGATCTGGGGCTGGAGAGGTGGTTCAGTGGTTAAGAGTACTGACTGTTCTTCCAGAGGTTCTGAGTTCAATTCCCAGCAACTACATGGTGGCTCACAACCATCTGTAATGGGATCCTATGCCCTCTTTTGGTGTGTCTGAAAATAGCGACGTTGTACTCATTCATTCATTCATAAACAAATAAAGGCATAAATAAAAAAAATTAAAAAAAGAATGCTTAAAAAACAAGGCCCTTGATCTATTTAGAGTTTATTTTTTGTTCAGAAGCAGATAAGGGTCCTGTGTCATTCTACTCTTAGGTGTGCTTTTTAAGATGTCACAGTGCCTCTGTGTGTAAAAAACAAAAGAGGCCGGGCTGTAGTGGTGCACGCCTTTAATCCCAGCACTTGGGAGGCAGAGGCAGGCGGATTTCTGAGTTCGAGGCCAGCCTGGTCTACAGAGTGAGTTCCAGGACAGCCAGAGATACACAGAGAAACCCTGTCTCGAAAAACCAATATTAAAAAAAAAGAAAGAAAAGAAATTAAAAACAACTGTCCTTGTGAACTCTGTATATAAACTTTGCCTCCATTCGGGGTTCCCTCTCGTCTGTGAGCAGAGGGGCCCTGGTGCACTAGCCATTATCAATTCTTCAATAAACCTCATGCGAACCACATCGAGTCCTGTCTGTGAGTATCTCTGGGGGAGCACGTCCCATGGGTTTAGATCTTTATCATCCAACAGTATCTGAGCATGAACCAACAAGAAGAATTCCTCCATGACTTCTGCTTCAACTCCTGCTGGAGTTCCTGTTCTAACTTTCCTCAGTGAGGGACTGTGACCTATAAGCTGAAAAAAACCCCTTTCCTCCTTTAAGTGGGTTTGAGTCATGATGTTTATCCCATGTTGAAAGCAAACCAGAATGGCAGCTGGTATCCAGTTCTTTTCAGAACCATCTATTAAAGAGGCTGTCTTTTCTGTTAGGTGTTTAGAAAGAAACAGGTTTCCAGAGAAACATGAAGTTGGATTTGCTCTTCAGGGGAAAGATTCGGATATAATTGTGAGTTCAGAAACAAAAAGCTTCAGGCTGCCTAGGACAACAGAACCTGTGCTTTTAAGGTCCTTTTAAGAGAGTTGGGGGTGAGTGGGGGAGGTGCTGTGCAACAGAAAACGGAGCCAAGGTCAGCTGACAATATCTAATCAGGCTGAGACATTTTGTTTTCTGTATTTTGGCTGAGACAAGTGTTTGAAGATCTCAAGCACATTTCAGGATAAGGGGATCAGGGAGAACAATGAGCTTAGTTAGCCTGTGATATGACAGGTTACTTGTCCTTGCCTGTAGCTCTTCTGTTTATGGCTTTGTATCTGAAAAAGACCATCCCCAGAAACTGGGACAGGACAGAGAAATACCTGTGTATTTGTGAAAGCAGGCAGGTGGACTGCAGCCGGAGGTGACCTTGTCAGCTGTTTGCAGCAGCTGTGAGGGGACAGAGTGCATCTGGAGTGTCTGGGCTTTAACATTCTCCAGTATTTTGTCATCTTTGTCATATACCAGGTGGTTGCAGCTTCATGGATCAACATCCGGGTTTTCTGTTCTGTTCTATTTATCTGTGTTTCTGTTTTTGTGTCAGTACTATGTTGCTTTTGACTCTGTAATATAACTTGAAGTCAGGTAGTCATACTTGAAACTAAATTATTTTTCTTTTAAATATACATCATTTAGGTATCATGGGCCAAAGTTTCCCAAACTCCAAGTTCAAGTATCCAGTTAAAGGCAGTTCAAGTATCCAGAAATGGGCTCAACCTAGACTGTAGAGGATTTCTGGTAGTTAGATAAAAGAAAGCATTCCTCAGAAACTTTTGAAATTGGTTCCCATCTGCTAAATGAGTCATTTCCCTTACCTCTGGCAGAAGGGACATATGGCTACCTGTGGTGTCTCTCAGCATATCAAAGCACATGCTGGCCACCAGTATTTCAGGTGCTTGTTTTAAAGTCCATGCTAGCGCACATCCTAGCCCTTAATTCCTCCCTTACTCTCAACTCTGTCCAGTTCATGGGATTCCCTCCCTCATGGGGCTACTAGTTCTCTAGCCCTATTCTGCTGTTGTCTGTATTCCCTACCATTCTCCCCTCTCTTAAGATAGTTCTGGCCAGGTCCAGTCTGTTGGCCATGTTCAGTCTATACCCTTCTCTAGGCTCTTCCAGATGGCCCTCACTGTACTTTCCTATCTATAATAAAAATCTTGCCGTAAACCATACCATGGAGCAGTCATGCTTATACACACATACCTTTAACCCAGCATTCAAGAAGCTACTATCCAAACCCTAACATGTACGCACAAATGGTAACACACAACCACCCCCAACAATGCCTGTTGCATTCAATGAGCTTTTTTTTTTTTTTTTTTGGTTTTTCGAGACAGGGTTTCTCTGTATAGCCCGGGCTGTCCTGGAACTCACTCTGTAGACCAGGCTGGCCTCGAACTCAGAAATCCGCCTGCCTCTGCCTCCCGAGTGCTGGGATTAAAGGCGTGCGCCACCACCGCCCGGCTTCAATGAGCTTTTTAGACAGAAAAATTAAAATGTCTTCTCTTAGCCTTTCTTGGCTGAGATTGAGTGTGGTATATCTGAGACAAGTAAAAGCTGAGGTGTTGCATCAGAAATAAAAAAATGTTCATTAAAACCAACTCCCCTGGGCTGGAGAGATGGCTTAGTGGTTAAGAGCACTGTCTGCTTTTCCAGAGGTCCTGAGTTCAATTCCCAGGAACCACATGGTGGCTCACAACCATCTGTAATGAGATCTGATGCCCTCTTCTGGTGTCTGAAGACAGCCAGTGTACTCACATACATAAATCTTAAAAAACAAAAACAAGGCTGGGCAGTGGTGGCGCACGCCTTTAATCCCAGCACTTGGGAGGCAGAGACAGGCGGATTTCTGAGTTCGAGGCCAGCCTGGTCTACAGAGTGAGTTCCAGGACAGCCAGGGCTACACAGAGAAACCCTGTCTCGAAAAACCAAACCAAACCAAAACAAAACCACAAAACAAAACAAAACCAAAACCACCGACTCCCCTGACAGTTTCAACAAGTACTGCCTAAGACTCTGAAAAGATGAATGGGTGTAAGGGTTAAAGGTCAACTTGAAGGGCTAGGACTAGAAATGTCTGTGTGGGTTTATACGGGTATTTTGAAGATTAACTGAGGGTAAAGACTCTCCCTAGAGTGTGCAGCCCTTCCAACAGTGACCCAAATATAAGCCCAAAGTGGGCTGGAGAGATGGATCAGCAATGAGAAACACTTTCTGTTCCCCCAGACAACCTGAGTTCAGTTTCCAGCATCCGCTTTAGGTGGTTCTCAACTGCCTGTAACTCCAGATACCAGCGTTGTTCTCCATTCCCTGAAGGTACTGGCACTCACTGCCCCTTAATTAAAAGCAAAATCTTAAAAAATAAAGAGGGAGATCCAAAGAAAATGAAGTCTTGCCTGCCATCTTGCTTCAGGTTTAGTCAGCCTGTCAGCTGTTCCCATCACACTAAGCTTCTTGGGTCTCCCAACACCTTCAGCACCAGGCCAGGATGGCTCCCAGCTTCATGAAACCTCTATTGCAGATGGTCACTGTTGGGACTACCCAGCCCATGCTGACAGTGAGTAAATAAATACATGCGTGTATAAATAAGATGTGCTAATGATATGTCTATAATCCGAGTACTCATAAGGTAGAAGCAAGAACATGAGAAGTTTAAGCCTAACCTGATGCGAGGCTATTTTATTTTATTTTTGGTTTTTCGAGACACGGTTTCTCTGTGTAGTCCTGACTGTCCTGGAACTCACTCTGTAGACCAGGCTGGCCTTGAACTCAGAAATCCGCCTGCCTGCCTCTGTCTCCCAAGTGCTGGGATTAAAGACGTGCGCTACCACTACCCGGCTGTGAGGCTATTTTAAAACAACAAACCAAAAACCTCTCCGAGCACTTGGGAGGCTGAGAGAGGATGACTGTTCAAGGAGAGCATAAATACAGAGGCTCCGACTCAAAAACAAAATAAAGGATAAACTCTGCGTACATGTTCCCAGCCCTTATTACAAAGCACACCAGACAATGACAAAGACAGCCATCACATAAAGGAATATAAAACTATTTATTGACCACTGTTCACCATTATTTACAGTAAAGTAAATATACAGTTGGATGACATTCTGATACTACAGAGTTACTTTTCTGGCTCATTGAACCAGAAGGCAAATACTGAAAAGATTGATCCTACCAGTAAGGAATGAGTCAGGGTAAAGAAAAAGCATGCAAGTCATTAATTGGTATTAGCAACTTTTGTTCACTCACTTAGTCAGCAGGTCTTAAGTTGCCAACATTAGCTCCAACCATGATTCTATTTCCACATCAAACAGATTCCATGAATAATAACCTTTTAGTACAGATTTTAACTTTCTACAAAGGAATGGTTCACCAGAGGAACCTTTAGGCTGACTAGCTGAGCTGGACCTGCCTCTAGAGCGCTGGGACTAAAGGCATGTACCACCACACTAGGCCCAAGTCTTTTTATTAAGTCACACTACTACTTTGTTTAATTCCATTTTCTGAAGGTGGAGTTGGTATGGACAACATTCAGTAAATAAACTACTGTATTTACGTGATAATACATCAATTCTGATGTGGTTGCTTTTAAACTATCCAATAAATTACAGAATCTGTTTAATCTGAAAGGTTTCGGTTCCAGAAAAATGTTCACAATGAGGGAATCTCATCCACTTGTGTTTTCATCTTCAGTTCTTTAAGTATTAAAAACAAGACAAAACAAACAAGTCATTGTGTTTTATGCATACACCACATACAAACAAACTCAGGATGGTCCTTCTGTGTCCCAGTTAAAAATAAATTCAGACTGAGTAGCGACTGTAAAATCTCCCCAGCGGTTAAGAAAAGCCGTTCTTCAAAGCTGAGGAAATACAACATGGTATCAAATATTCTATTGTTAAAGGAAGCAACTACAGAAAGCTCTTACTTGCTCAAAGCAATCAGTGCCTTTTGATGCAGAACAAAAACCAAAACTATCCCAACTACCGTCAATACTTTCAAAACCAGCATATCAAACTTGACTTTTATTAGAATGCTATTTTTTCCACACTAGTTATTTCAAAACCCAAGATCCAGACTTTATATATATATGTATAAATATATATATAAATGCAAACAATTATTGTGCTTCATCTTCAGGACAAGAATGCCAAGTCAGCCTTTCCTCATAGAAGGCAATGACAATCTGAGGACACTTCATATTTGCCTCCTTTGCCAGCACCAAGTCAGCCTCATCTGAGTCCTTCCTGTTGTGAGGGAAAAGAAACTGGTTAAATATTTTAAACTCTGTATGTTTAACGGAGATCCATTCAATAAATAATTAAATCAAAATGAAAGTGCTGCTAGAGCCGGGCGGTGGTGGCGCACGCCTTTAATCCCAGCACTTGGGAGGCAGAGACAGGCGGATTTCTGAGTTCGAGGCCAGCCTGGTCTACAGAGTGAGTTCCAGGACAGCCAGGGCTACACAGAGAAACCCTGTCTCGAAAAACCAAAAAAAAAAAAAAAAAAAGAAAGTGCTGCTAGAGAGGGTTGTATGGTAGCTGAGGTTACATTTCAAAAAAACTTCACTTCTCCAAAGAGGCTATGCATTTGTCTTTCAACTTGGACTGACTCATGACAATCTACCTCAGCCTGCTGGGTTCACAGGCTCGAGCCACTGCGCTCAGCTAACTATTTCCACTCTATGTAAGAAACCTTGCATAAAAAAAAGAAAAAGAAAAAAAAAAAGAAAAGCCAGGCAGTGGTGGCGCATGCCTTTAATCCCAGCTCTTGGGAGGCAGAGGCAGGTGGATTTCTGAGTTCGAGGCCAGCCTGGTGTCTACAGAGTGAGTTCCAGGACAGCCTGGGCTATAAAGAGAAACCTTGTCTCAAAAAAAAAGAAACCTTGCATTAGAATTAGCCTTGAATGAGGGCTACTAAAATGGCTTAACAGTAAAAGATGCTTGGCACACAAGCCTGGCACCCTAAGTTTGAACTCAGGAATCCACATCCACAGGTAGAACATGCATGCACACAGTACAAAGTAAAACCAAAAAACCTCCAACAACCAAAAAACCAAAATAAAATAAAATAAAAAAAACCCAACAAAACAACTGTCCACACACTTACCATTTCATGAGAAACATTAATTCTCCACTGCTGTCTGTGGCACCAATTATTCGTTCAGGATCAAGACCTCTGGCAAAGCCCCTTGGTTTGTCAGCCTGTTTATAGGTTAAGTAATAGCTTAAATAAGTTATTTCTGCATAACATTAATTTTTTTTTTTTATGAAATACAACTTTCACCAGAACTCCCAACAGTAAGCCAGGAACAACTAGAACAAGAACTGAAGTTTGATATGAAAACATGCTCAAGACTGGGGACACAGTTTTATTGGTAAATTGCTTGTCTAGAATACAAGAAATCCTGGGCTTGGTCCAGCACTTGGTAGCTGGAGGCAGAAGCATGAGGAATTAGTATTAAGCCTGGGCTAGACAAGACCCTTTCTTAAAAAATAAAATAAAAAGCCTTACTATGTATCCTTGATTAGCTCCAAATTTTCAACCGTCCCCCCCCAGGCTTTAATTTATTGACCATTAGAACTACAGTATACAGTATACAATATACTGAGCAACTATGCACTCTTGAAAATTAAAACCTAGAACTTTAGATAGAGGCAGAACCTTTAGAGGTTCAAGGCTAGTCTAGACTAGTGAAGTTTGATTAAGAACCACCTACCAATAAAACCAAAAACAAGTAAATAAATGTGCAGCCACTTACTGTAGCACAAGCCTATAATTTCAGTACTCGGGAATATTGTAAGTTTAAGTGCACCTTGGGCTACATAGCAAAGGCTGCAGCCTAAAAACATACATATAAAAAGCCCACAAGGGGCTAGAAATGGCTGTGGTTAGAGCACTTGCCTTATAGAGAACTTGCTTCAGTTCTCAGCACCCACATGATGGCTCACAACCACCTCTAACTCCAGTTCCAGGGGACAACTCCCTCTCTGACTTTGTGGCAGCTGCATATATACATACACTCAGACCCCTCCATTAACATTTCTAATATAACACTAGTTATTATTGCTGGGCGTGGTGATGCCAACTTTAATCCCAGCACTCTGGAGGCAGAGACAGATGGATCTCCGAGTTTGAGTTCTAGGACAACCAGGGCTATATAGAGACCCTGTCTCAAAAATAAATTAGTTATCACTATAAAGCCATAATATACATTTAGCTATAAATATAGATAACATCTAATTCTTTATGTGTATAATATGTATTTAGTTGTAATATAATTAGTTAATATTACAAAAGCCAACCCCAAACAATAAAACCTAATCAATTTACTTCTAAGAATTGAGTCTAAAATTATTTGCTTATTTTAAAGACATAAAAAAAATACTAAAGTCATATTTTGAGTTATCTGACTTGGGATTGTCTTTATACACTTTCCCTAAAATATATCACAGGAAGCCAGGCACGGTGCCATGAGTCCTGGGATTGATCCAGTACTTGGTAGCTGGAGGTTAAAGGCTAGCCTGGGTTTCATGAGACTATCTCAAAACCACAATCGCTTTATTTTGGAGACAAGTTCTCTGAAAGCTGAGCTAGCTTCAAAGTTTCAACACAATTTTCTTACCTCAGTCCCTCAAGTGCTAGGATTGTAGGTATGAACCATCACACCCAACCCTGTCTTCCTTAAACTAGACATCGATGAGACTCCTCTTTTTCATAACGTGCTCTATACCCAATAGGTTTTATTTATATGCATGCTTGTATATATTTGTATAAATGCATTACAAAAATAAAACGATAGGGTTTTAATGTAGTGAAGGCTTGCTACGTAGCTAATGACCTTGAATTCACTTCTCAAGTGTGTTAGGATTACAGGGGGATGCCAGCTTGACCAGTTTCCAATCAGTTGTACATATAAACTATTATTCTTGTTTAGGTTTTTCCTTTTGGTATTGGTACTTATTTTTTAAAATCATGTGTACTTTTTTTCTAAGCACCTGTAAGTACCGGTGCTTTTGGAGGCCAGAAAGGGCACTAATGTCCCTGAAGCTGGAGTTACAGACAATTCTGAGTACTCACATAAGTGCAACAAGAGTAGCGCATGTTCTTTAATTACTAGTACTTGGAAACCGTTTTCTTAAAATTATCTCTGTGTTTAAAGAATATTTTACCTACATGTATGTCTGTGTCCCTGGTGTCTATGGAAGTCAGAAGAATGTGTTGGATTCGTTGGAACTGAAGTCACAGACTATCATGAGCTATCAAGTGGGTTCTGGGAACCAAATAGATCCTCTGGAAGAGCAGTGCGTGCTCTTAACCAGTTCTGCAGCCCTAAAATGTCCACTCCCAACCGCCTTAGGGCCTTACTTATAGACAGACTAGTCTGGATCTCAGAGAGACCTGCCTGCCTCTGTTTCCCCAGCACTAGAACTAAAGCCATGCCTCATACCTGGCTGCTTTTCAATTTCTAAAACAATAAATGTTGATAATTATAGCCTACATACTGTTTGAGTATAAGTATTTGAGAACTGATGATAACAGAAAACTAAAATTATTCAAGTTTCACATCAGTGTAACCAGACTGAGTTAGATTAACAACTCTAGCCCTTTAGGTCTAGGTAAATTAATTAAGCTCTGTGGTTCAGGCCTATTATCTATCAGAAACAATTAGTCCCTATGTCACAGGTTTTTGGTGGTGTATCAGTGATACACTGATAGGCTGTTTAGAGCACTGCTGGCCCAACCTAGCTTTGGCACTACTACTAAAGATATTTCCTTTAAGCATACACTTTACTTTCAGATCTCCACTGTAATTAATCTTGTTTTTCTCATACATACAACTGAATCATTATCTAGACTCAACAGGGTTGATGTTAAGATTTATTGCTTTATATGAAAGGTTCTTGTTACCTAATTGATACGACCACACTTGAAACCCAGTCTGCTACCAATTTAATGTGTGCTGAGTGCTTGGATAGAAGCCGAATTCAGCACCAGACCTTTCCTCCAATTATCACACTAGGCCAACAGAAAAGAAGTACAATCTAGTTAAAGCTAAGGGTACAGATTACCATATCTGTGACACTATGCCTAACTCTAGAAAAGGTTTCTTTTTTTCTTTTTCGAGATAGGGTTTCTCTGTGTATAGTTCTGGCTGTCCTGGAACTCTCACTCTGTAGACTAGGCTGGCCTCGAACTCAGAAATCCACCTGCCTCTGCCTCCCAAGTGCTGGGATTAAAGGCGTGCGCCACCACTGCCCGCCACCACTGCCCGGCCTTTCTTTCTTTTCTTAATTGGAGTTTAAAGTATACTCGGGGCTGGAGCAGCTAGAGGCATTTACCAAAGAATCTAACTAAGTTCAATTGCCAGCACCTACAATGGTAGCCCACACCACCTATAATTTCAGTCCCATGGTACCTGATACTGTTACCTAGCTTCTGAGCATGCATGAGGTACAGATATATAGGCCAAGCACCATACAAATGGAAAATAGTCTTAGCTGGGTATGACAGTGAATGCCTTGAATTCCAGCACTTAGGGGGCAAAGGCAGGCAGCTTTGTGACTTTGAAGCTAGGCAGAGCTACAATGAGAAACCTTGTCTTCAAGACACCTCACCTAGTTTTAAGCCGAAGTCAGGTAACAGGATGAGTGGTACAAGGCCACTCACTCACTCTCTGCTACATGAGACCAACCCCCAAAAGGACACTAACAAAGGGGAAGGGATAGGGAGATGAATTACAACAAAGTATAATAATGGTAAGTGTGTATGAAAATACCATAATGAAGCCCTTCACTTTGGATGCTAACTTAAAGAACAAAATATGAACTAAATAAAAAGTATTCTAGCTGGAAAAAAGTTCAAAGCAATGAAAACTCAAGTCATTGACTTTTGGTAAGAGCCGTCAACAGGCAGGGCTTTATACTTACAGCGTCTCTCTTCTTCTTCGATTTGCTATCATCAGATTCACTGTCAGATAAAGATTTCCTTTTTGTACCATCTTTTTCTTTACCAGCTTTTTGAGAATTAAGAAATGCTTCAATTAATTCTGGACAATCTAAATTTTCTTCTGGTTCCCAAGTATTATCAGCACTGTGTTCAGTTAAAGAAAACAAAAAGTTGATTCAATTAAACATTGCCATTACCTGGATCTGTTTATAACTATCTGGAGGGAAAACATTCCATAACAAAGGCTAATACTAATAAAATGATAATAATAGAAAGGAATGCCCTCCCACTTCCTATATTTTAAAATGTCTACATTTTTCTTCACAACCACTTTCACATCCCTACGTGAGCAATCTGCTAGTTTACCTCACAGGCAGTTGAATACTAATAGTTTCCTGCTCCATAAGCAACTCACTTTATATAACTGTGGTTGGCTTCAAACTCTGTATGTAATCCAGTTCTAATCCTTCTGTCTCTACCTCCCAAGTACTAGGATAAAAGCACACTCTATCACAGTCAGTTGGTTGGTTGGTGTTCTCTCTCTCTTTTGTTTTGAGGCCAGCCTGGTCTACAGAGCGAGTTCTAGGACAGCCCAGGCTGGCCTCAAACTCAGAAATCTGCCTGCCTCTGCCTCCCAAGTGCCGGGATTAAAGGCATGCACCACCACTGCCTGGCTTTTGGTTGGTTTTTAACTTAGGAAATGATACAAAAAGCAAGGGCTGGCAAAAACAAAAGTCTGGCTTATTGCAAGGTTTGTTTGTTTTGTTTTGTTTGTTTTTTTCGAGACAGGGTTTCTCTGTGTAGCCCTGGCTGTCCTGGAACTCAGAAGTCTGCCTGCCTGCCTCTGCCTCCCAAGTGCTGGGATTAAAGGCGTGCGCCACCACCGCACAGCAATTGCAAGGTTTGTAAAGCATTGGAACTATTTTTTGTTGTTGTTGTTTTTAAAGATATAGTCTCTCTGGGCTGGAGGGAGAGACTGGCTCAGCCATTAAGAGCACTGACTGTTCTTCCAGAGGTCCTGAGTTCAATTCCCAGCAATGACACGGCGGCTCACAACCATTTGTAATGGGATCTGATGCCCTCTTCTGGTGTGTCTGAAGAAAGCCACAGTGTATTCATAAACACTTTGCCTCACTATGTAGCCTAAGCTGGCCTCCAACTCCCGATCTTGCCTCATCTTCCACAGTGCTGGAACTCCTGTGCTCTACCACCATGCACAGGCCAATTTTTTCTCTTAGAGAGAAAGAGAGAGAGAGAGAGAGAGAGAGAGAGAGAGAGAGAGAGAGAGAGAGA